ACACACACACACATTCACCAGACGCACACACGCACTGACCGTTGTGTCCGAACATGCGAAAGTGGGCGAGCTGGAATGCCATCTGCAGCGTGCCGTCCGTGCCGAGGTTCAACCCCTTCAACTTGCTCACATCCATCGCCTGGAGACGTGGGGAGAGGGTAACAGGGCAGCGTGGGTCAACAGACGACGCAGACATCATACTAGCTGGCAGGCCAGACAGACAGACAGACAGACGGACGGACGGCCGGACGGACTGACACACACACACACACACATATGTGAAGCACTGCGCACCTGTGTCTGGAGGACTTTCATGTCAATCGTGTTTTTGAAGGCGTCGAATTCCTCCGCCGCGGTCTTCAGCTCGGCGCTCAGCTCGTCCGTAAAGTCAAAGTCGAGTTTCTGGCGATGGTGATGACGCGATGGTGTGGTGTCGACACGTGGTGATGCGAAGCGTTAGGCAATTGCACATGACACACACGCACACACGCACACACGCATACACGCACACACGCACACACACACACACACACACACACACACGGCCATTCTCCCCTCTCTCCTCTCTCCCCGTCTGTGCGCGCACCACAGCCTGTTCCTTTGGCCTTGGGTCCGGTGTCGGCGTTGCAATGCTCTCCTTGTACACCTCCTGGAAATACCTGTCAAGCATGAAAGAAGGAGCAGTGCGCCAGCGTGGGTTAAGAGGTGGCGAATGGTGAACACAAGTGTAGACGTACACGCAAGTTTGTGTGTGCACGCAAGTTTGTGTGTGCAGTGTGTGTGTGTGTGTGCAGTGTGTGTGTGTGTGTGCAGTGTGTGTGTGTGTGTGCAGTGTGTGTGTGTGTGTGTGCGTGTGTGTGTGTGTGTGTGTGTCACCTGAGCACGGCCACGCCATCTCCCCACGAGTGCTCAAAGTTGACCGCGGACTTTCCGTTCTCCGTCACAATCAGCTGGAAGCTCTGCACGCACACAAGGAAAGAAAGAGTGACAAGCGATGAGCAACGGCGTGCATGGCATGATCATGTGGGGCGGAGGGCTCTTGAACCTTGTAAGCTAGCCATATCGACACACACACACACACACGCACACACACACACACCCAACACGAAAATACATGCCGCCGCTGCCACCACCAGCACCAGCAGCACCAGCACCACCACCATCGTAGGGAGCGTGCCGCACCTTGTCGAACCATCTGTTCCTGCCGTTACCGTACAACATCGCCTCCGACAGCTCGACGTACTCATCACCGGTGGCGCCACCGAGCGGCGTCATGGGCGCACAGCCGGGGGCAGAGTCCTAGTAGTGGTGGTGGTGGTGGTGGTGGTGGTGGTGAATGGTTGGTGGATGGGGATGAATGGGTGATTGATGGTGGATGCGGATGTGAAAGAGGCACAAGCGACAGCGTGAGCAAAATGACGACACATCTATTCATCGTGCAGCCCAAATCACCAAATCACCAAATCACCAAATCAGGGTGACGGACCTCGAGGCAGACGGCAAAGAGGGCGGAGTCGATGTCCGACATGTGCTGCAGATTGCGCGGCGATGCACCCATCACCTTGTTCCTGGTGGTGGTGATGTGGTGATTGGTGGTGATAAGTTGTGATTGTTGTGGGGATTGGCGGTGAGACAGTGTTGAGGAAAGCAAGGCAAGGTAAGACAGGCAAGACAGGCAAGACACACACACACACACACACACACACACACACACACACACACACACACGCACGCACGCAGCTAAACACGAGACATCACGTGTGCGTGTACCTGAGGGTAGCCCACTTGTCCCTGTTCATCGTGGTGGCGGCGCCGAGCGGGGGCGCGGCCGTTGATGCGGGCTTGGACGTGATGTCCTCAAGCGCAGCGCGAATCTGTGCTTGCAGGCAACGCAACGTGCCAACGCAAGTGAGACGCAAACGGCAGTGCAACAACGAAACGGGACAGGATGGAGTCAGTGCAGGTTGAGCAATGTGTGTGTGTGTGTGTGTGTGTGTGTGTGTGTGTGTGTGTGTGTGTGTGTGTGTGTGTGTTCCTCATTATGGCCACAGATCTGTCCAAACGTCGACATGATCGCTCAAGGTGAGGTTTGAGACACCCACGCACTCGTTCACACGTCAACCACAACTAAGCACTGCTAGTTACTACCGCAAGCAGCAGCAATGTGTGTGTGTGTATGTGTTTGTTTGCTGCGAGCAGGAGAAAGCAATGTTTCACCTCTGCCTCTGGGACGGCGGTGCCGTCCTGGTGAAGAACATTCAACTTGAAAAAGTCGTGGCCGTACTGTCCAGCAACACGCATGACGCAATGCAAGGTGGCAGTGGCGGTGGGGGTGTTGCAGTGAAGGGGAGGGAGTGGGTATTGTGAAGCAACACAAAACGATACGAGCGGGGGATTGCGCAGAAAAGAAGGAGGGTTGTCTTGTGTTGTGTGTGGAATGAAGCGAGCACTGCTGGGCATGTGCACCGAACTCAAAACCGCAGTCACCAGAAGTCACGAGGCAAGTTGATTACACACACACACACACACACACAACCCACCTGGATGATGATGTGCCGGCTCTGGCGCTCATCAAAGACAACGAGCTGGTCCTTGGTCGGCTGCGGCACACGCGTGGAGCTGAACAGGTTGGCGTACTGCACGCACACACACACACACAGACACACACAGACACACACAGACACAGACAGACAGACAGACAGACACACACACAGACACACACACAGGAGAGAAGGGAAACAACACGGTGGTGTAGCTGTGAGGCGGCAAGCAACAGCGAGACGCACAGAGATACACAATCAGACCGACAAGCAGACACACACGCACGCGCGCGCGCGCCGTTTGTTCCCTCTCGCTTCCATTGCTCACCTGGCTCATGTCAAGTGCAAACGCGCCGAACCCAAAGCCTGGCACAATGCAGGACACACGCGCAAACGGCACACGCGGTTAGCACAGCCACGCAAACCAACACCCGCATGAACACAGCACACTCCAGGTACACGCATGTGTGTGTGCGTGTGTGTGACCGTGTGCGCGAAGGTCGTATGTTTAGACACAGCCATGTGTGAGAGCGCTCACTCACTCATACCCACTCCCACTCCCCCTTGACTTCCTTGCTGATGTGCGCACGCTTACCGATGTACCATGCGGCCGCGTTGGGCGCCATCTTGACCAGCTGCTGGAAAAACGGCGTCTCGCTCCGGTGCGGCTTTGTGTGGTACACATCTGCCGTGGATGGGGGGGGGGTCGTGTGTGGGGTAGGGGGTAAGAAGGGTATTGGCGTTGAGTACGTTCGGAAGGAGTGATGAAAATAATCACACACGAATCACACACACCTGGGCTGAGCTGCCTGTCGCGGAGGGTGCGGTAAAAGGCGACAGAGGCGGAGATGAGGCTGGCAGCGCGTGGCGCCTGCTTGTGCTTCGCCGGATCAGGGTCGTCCTTCATCGTCAGCTGCACATGTATGACCATTGTGTGTGTGTGTGTGTGTGTTTGTGTGGAGGGAGATTAGGCTGGGTACTACCGGATGCTGAGCACGGCACCCATTTGCATTTGTGAATCGTGTTCTCTTCTTCAACACACACACACACACACACACACACACACCTGCGGGTTCATGTTGATGGGGAGGGGATCACGGAAGCGGAGATACATGTCAAACCAGGGCGCTGAGATGTAGCTCGAGTAATGCTTCTTGTCCTGGTGGCATCGGGGCGTTGAGGATTGTGGGTGGCACGTGAGCACAAAAGGGCTGGGGAAAGGCAGTAACGATTGTGGATGCCACTCGCACTCACACGCACGCATCATCCAAACAAACACGAATGTGTTTCACTTGAGTTTACACACAAGCGTCGTCGGTATCTTCATCATCATCATCATCATCATCATCATCATCATCATCATCATCATCATCATCATCATCATCATCATCATCATCATCATCATCATCATCATCATCATCATCATCATCATCATCATCATCAACGAAGGCAACAGACCTCGGCCACGATGTGGTCCTGCAGGATCTTGCCCTCGGTGTTGGCAAAGTCGTCGACAACGGCCTTGGTCTGCTGCAGCTCATCAGGCGAGACGAGTGGGGTGGCGGAGGCCACATACTGTCGGGGGTGGCGCGAGAAGAGATGGCAAGTTCAGTGAGTGCAGTGGCCGTCGTGAGGCTGATGTATTGTGTGATGTGGTGGTCATCCACGATGCAGCACCAGGCAAAAACAAAACATGGCATCGCATCGTACACTTCACAGGTGCATGTCTTCGTGCGCACCTTCTGCAGCGAGTCTTCCAGCTTTGGGATCTTCAGCTTGGGCAACGAGTCCTGAAACTTGAACGTCGGAATCACAGTCTGTTGTGGTGTTGTGTTTGCACGTGTGTGGCAGAGAGATGTGAAGAGAAACAGGGGGAGAGAGAGTGTGTGTGTGTGTGTGTGTGCGTTGAGTGTGTGTGTGTGTGTGTTGCGTGTTGAGTGTCAGTTTGGTTCAGTGTCAAAGCCATCGAGCACTGGTCAACTCTTGTGCATGACGCATTGTCAACATAAAGACAAACACAAATGACCAAACCTTGTGGAGGTAGCCGTCACTCGTGAGAGCGCGACGCGCCGTCTTGAGGACGGCTGCTTGGAGCACCACCCGCATCGCCTCGCAGGAGGGGGGGGGGGTAGCGTGACGGGAGATGGGATGGAGGAGCGACGGACACAGAACAGGAGAGGAGCGACGTGGTTTGTGTGCGAGGGTGTTGTGAGTGCGGTTGTGGAGATTGTGCCACTGCCGCTGAAAAAAATCAAAACAGTTGCCACGGTCCGACACCACAAAACACGGTTGGGCGCTGTTTGTGCTATCGCAGAAACCTTGCAGTGATTTCTGGCTGAGCGCCAAATTGTTTAAGATTTGCCAAAGTTTTCCGTGTCTCCCACTCTCCATAAAGTGACTCGGTGTTTTGTGAACCAACGTGCCTTTTTCTCTCGTCCGCACTCAGAGCACACCGCCAGCATGAAGGTGAGAGAGAGACACTCGAGAGTGTGCGTGGGCTGGCTGGCCTTGTGCTTGGAGGGTCGGATATGATGAGCGCGGCGTGCACGCACACGAGGCTTGCTTGCTGCAGCCTGTGTGTGTGCAGTGGGCGACGGCCGTTGCCGAGCTGGGTGCCACGCTGGTGTGCCACGCCGGTGTCGCTGCTCTCTTCACCGCAGCGAAGAACAGCAGTCCACCACCACCACCACCACCACATGCGCGTGCTCATGTGGTGTGCGTGGTGCTCCACTGCGATCCACACACTGAGTGGATCATGAGCACCAGCCCGCATGAACATACGCACATGCACAAGAGTCACCACCACCAACACCACCACGAATTAGCACGCACGCACGCACGCTCGCACGCACGCACGCAACACCAGATCTGCCATGTGCCACCATTTGCTCACACGCGCCTGCCACTTTAATCACATTTCCCTCTCCCGTCCTTGTTCGTCCTCTTTCATCTTGCCACTGCAGCTGAACATCTCGTATCCGGCGAACGCGACTCAGAAGACCTTCGACTTCGAGGATGAGTCGAAGATCCGCCCTTTCTACGACAAGCGCATCGCATCCGAGGTGCCCGCCGACTCCCTCGGCGATGAATGGAAGGGCTACGTCCTGAGGATCACCGGTACGTCCATGTGCCTCCTGTGGTGGCGTACGTGGCAGCGTGTGTGGGCTGTTGGCAGTGTAGCGGTATGGTATGGTGCGGTGCGAGAGTGGCGTGGGGTGTGGCATCGGTCAAGCGTTGAAAAGAGAGGCGACGGCCATTGACACAACTGCAGCAGATGTGCTGGTGGAGATGGAACGAGGCGTCATTAGCACGTTGGCTGGCATTTGTTGTGGTTTGAGCTGCTGCGGGCCCGTTGGACCACGTGCCAACGATATGGCACACATGCCCAACACCCCACATTCAATCGCATTCCATCCTGCCATGAACACTCACGTGCGCGCAACTCTTGGCCTCTTTGTCGCCGTCTTTGCCTCCTTTCCCTGCCCCACAACTTTTGTACGACAGGCGGCAACGACAAGCAGGGCTTCCCCATGCGCCAGGGTATCCTGACCAACAAGCGCGTGCGTCTGCTTCTGGGTAAGGGCTCTCCCAACTTCCGTGAGCGCCGCAAGGGCGCCCGCAAGAAGAAGAGCATCCGCGGCTGCATCGTCGATGCCAACCTCTCCGTCCTCAGCTGCGTCGTCGTGAAGACTGGCGAGAAGGACATTGAGGGCCTCACAGACACAACCCGCCCCCGCCGCCTTGGCCCCAAGCGCGCCAACAACATCCGCAAGCTCTTCAACCTGAGCAAGGAGGACGACGTCCGCAAGTTTGCCGTGCGCCGTGTTGTCAAGCGCGAGGGCAAGAAGAACATTGTCAAGAAGCCCAAGATCCAGCGCCTGGTCACCCCACGCCGTCTTGCCCGCAAGAAGGCCGAGTACGTCTTTTGATTCTTATTTGCTCTGTGTCGCAGTGGATGGGTGCTTGTTGTGGGCGACGCGCTTGTTGTTTGTCTCCAGGGCGTGTTGTGTTGTCACGGTTGTCGGGAAGCATGTTGACGTTGGTTCTGTTCAGTGTGACTGTTTCCCATGCACACCAACAAACACACCCACACATGCACTTGTGTGTGCCTACACGCACCACCCACTGCATTGCATTGCTTTGCCTGTTTTGTGTCGAACGCTCATGATCCCTCACCTCACCTTCTCCTCGCACCACTTTGCAGGCTCGCCGCCAAGCGCGCACAGCGTGAGAAGCAGAGGGCACTGGCTGATGAGTATGCACAGCGCCTTGCTGCCCTTCAGAAGGAGCGCTCCGAGGCCCGCGACGCCCGCCGTGCATCCTCAAGGAAGAGCCGTGCCAGCGAGCGCAAGTAAGCGCCCCCGGCTTGCTCGGTATCTCGTCCTTGTTGCTGCCTGTTGTATTCGCCTGAGTCCTTCTTCCCCTGTGTGGCGTTTGGCTGCTGCTCCCGCTGCTGCCCATCATGTTCTTCCCCCCGTGCTGGTGTTGGTTGGCTCGTGCCGCTTTTGTTTCTCTGACACGCCAACAACGTGGTGGACGAAGCAATCCCAAAAGACAGTAAACACTCACAGCTAGCTCGCAGGCAAGACAGTGTGTGTGTGTGTGTGGGAGGTTGTTGTTGTTGTTGTTGTTGTTGTTGTTGTTGTTTGAGAGCACTGGAAAAGACAATGAATTCACATGGCATTGATGTCGTTTACTTTTGAAACCGAGACTACGAAGGGGGTTGACCAAAACAAGACTAAGGAGCAACAGCAGGGAAGGGAATGACAACGATAACGTCAGAGTATTCATCTGAACGCGGTCAACGGGGAGCGATGCTGTGCAGGTCTTGCTTTGCCATGGGCTTGAGATCAAACCCTTGGTTGAGCGGTTGCCCTGCACGCGTGTGGTGTAGTTGTGTGTGTGTGTGTGTGTGTGTGTGTGTGTGTGTGTGTGTGTGTGTGTGTGTTTGTGTGTGTGTTGTGTGTGTGTGTGTGTGTGTGTGTGTGTGTGTGTGTGTGTGTG